TATAAAGCCCAGCCAATCAAGTTTGGCTTGCGCATGAATCGACTTCCCAATTCATTTTTCGATGATTACACTTCTGACCCTCGACTTTTCTCGGCAGAGAACCTAGCGTCAGCTAGGTTCGTCCAGCTGTTCGCTATGATGGACAACATGGCCGTCATCAAAACCCACCGCCCTCTTCCAACCTCGCACTATTTGTCCGACAATAATCAATACAGCTTGCGTGATGTTAATTCAGATAAGCAATTAACGATTGAACATGTGACTCAGTATTTGACAGTCAAGCAGATAGAAATAGAAAAAATTGTTTACGGGTATGGCATCTCCACCCACTTCGCATCTACAGGGGCCAAGTAGTTTCCAGAAAGCCCAACGAATTATTTCAGCTGCAGAAGTATTTACAACTTTCGCTCACTGTAGGCGACTCACATTTTACCGCAGTTCGCGATATCTTATTACGTTAGGCAACGTTTTCAAAGTCGGTGGCAACTGATGACCCTGGAAATTCACTCACTTAAACAAATCATCCGGTCGGATAATTTGCAGAATAATTTACTTTACGTATGCACTGTTCATTATAAAGTGCTAACCATGAAAACGTAGAGTCGCAGCTGTTGGCCCAAAATTATGAGACGTCCATGGTAATTATTCAGATAAGGCAATACTATTTGACTGCATCTATAGTGATCCTTCTGACCAGCGTACATCAGTACTTTCTCTGTAACTTATTATTAGTCAAATTGTACCACTTTCTATCTCTCACTAAAATCTCAGCTTATTCCTATTCTCTTCATACCGAATAACTTTTGTTTAAATGAACAAAAAAGAAATATGACACAATACAAATTCTGTACCTCGTGAAAGGCGTGTTCCCTTCTTGCAGTGTCGAATTACGCTGGCAGTGAATTAACGAGCGGTGATCTACCTTTCAGACTACGACGGGATAGAAAGTATCTAGGAATATATCAAGGAAGATTCCAGGAAGGAGATCGATTTGGATTTATTCCTAGATACTTTCTATCCCGTCGTAGTCTGAAGGTAGATCACCGCTCGTTAATTCACTGCCAGCGTAATTCGACACCAGCATGAAGGAACCTGTCTGTCACGAGGTACAGAATTTGTATTGTGTCATAGCCAGCGGTCAAAAAACACTTTGTATTAACACGCGGCATGGCTTTGAAATGAAGACCAAAAGAGATGGCTTGGTGAGACCGTCTTCAGAGCTTATTGCTGGTGTGTTTGCAACCTTTGTTACCGCATACTTCTCACATCCAAACAAATGAGCTAAGCCTTCGACGGTGTTCCTTGAGGATTCAGGTTTTGATATGCGTAAGTGGATATAGGATTAATTTATCAGGGGGCGGCAAACACCATGACGTCTTGTCTCTCGGAAAGACTCACTTTCTGTTTAAGGTGCCGAGCTTGTCTCCAATAGCCCCTCGAATTTGCGTGGCCATTACTTGTACCTATGATGAAGCGCCAGAAGAACATTGCTCCACCCATTCAGATTTCATCTTGTCTGTCGACCGTTCATCTCATCCTTAAATGACCTCACTCAAGGTCCTAGAGGAATAATCCATGCAAATACCCACTGACCATTCACCCTAGGTTGCTTTTGGTAGCATCACAGCCTCCGATCGATATAAAGGTACTTCCCGTCAGATCTTTTCCATCCAGTCAGTTAGCTTGGCATCATGTACCCTCCATGCTTTCGCTTGCAATCAGCATACTTGGCCAGTAACCTCTCCACCCACCACTATCCCCAACTGTATGGAACTGAAATTCACTTCTGCGAGCATTTATCGTAAAAACAGCAAAATTAAATATCAAGCTGAAGAAATGGATGCTTACTGAGGCTAACTGTGGGTTGGGAAGCACGACCCACCTCTGGAAATAGATGAAGTAGTCGAATTCTTGAAACACTTGCTGGTAGAGGGTTTAGAATGCATTTTAGTCCCTTCCTTTGATCATCATCATCATCATTGTCAGCTGTAAGAACCGCGTACTCGTCGTACAGTGGTTGTAGCTGCCGCAGTTTCGTTCACCAATGATTTGAGGGGGGGGGGTAGGTAGCTGCGGATTGCACGCGCGAGCTGGTAAATTGGTGCATAAATTCAGCACTGTCAGTGGGCTGTCAAGTAGTGAGGGGGTTGGAAAAGGAGCTATGCATTGAAGGCAATAGCTTGGATGCACGAGCGTCACTGAGGGCGCGACTGGGCCATGTCTGATAATGTCTCTAGCCATTGATGTGGCCCGTTTCAGGGTCCCCATCCCGGAAGACGGCAGTGACCAGCGCAGCTGAGTTTGCTGGTAATGGCTTCGACACTTCGCTGCCAAGTCATTGTTTGGCCGCCTCTGGCTCTCTTCCACCCTTCACATGGTTGGGCGAAAGGAGCCCTTTGTGGAAGTCGGTCGACTGGCATACGCAACACGTGGCCAAGCCAGCGCAACCTATGCAGTGTGATCAGTTCATCTATCGAGGGTGAGTTATTTCTCCCGAATACCATTCGACGTATTTCAGCATTGCTGATCCGGATTCGGGCAATGCTCCGAAGACATGGATGGTCAAACACTGAAAGTATTTTGACGTCCTCGGTGCGCAGCGGCCATGTTTCTGATCCATATAGTAATATGGAGCGCACCGCAGCACTGTAAACTCGACCCTTGACAGAGAAGCTGATGTCACGCCTACGCCACAGGTGACGTAGGTTCGCAAAAGCTGCTCTGGCCTTCCCAATCCCACCCAAACTTGCAGTAGCACTTTACAATTTGCACGTGTGAAGCGCATGCCGAACCGCGAGGCAGAATTATTTAGATTATTTAGTAGTGATCACACCAATCAGGTCTTTTGGAATACCTCCGTGGAGAGCAATAATGTGATCGCAATTTATTCCTGAAATTTACTGCGACACTAGAAAAGAAGAAAAACGTTCTGTTTGGTGTGATGGACAACAGTGACGCAACCGGATTAAGATAAATGACCGGCGCATTTCTTCAACTGGGGTGTGTACCCAGAATCCCTTTAAGTACATGATTACCTGACCTGCTGCATTTAAAACGATGGGCGCAGTCTCCTGCTTCACGCTGATCACCATTCTCTTCCCTCCGTGTTTTATTTGGCTGAATCATTGGCAGAGATTTAATGAGGTCAATTCGAACAGCTTCATAAGACTTGAGTGGTCAGCAAAAATATTGTATAATCGATCAAGTTGGGATTGAAATATAAGCAGTGGACAAAAGAATAGGTTTATCCTTCACCAATTTGGACGGAATCAGAGCATAGTAGACGGGCTGTTTTTGCCATTAACGACCCGGTGATGTATAGTGGTGCAGCGGTGGATACTGTTGATGAGGCATGTGAGGAGTACGTAGTTACCTCGTAAACCCCCCTGCACCTAATGGAAAATTGGGTTTATTACGGTACCTCTGGAACGGCTTTACAGCGTTCGTTTACACCTGCGTGACAGTCAATGAATATCAACGAAATTTAGGAAGACGCGTGAAGATTTTCAGTTTTTGAAAATAAGGTGCATATAAGATATTTGCTTCACTGACTAATAGTTTGTAGTCGTTTAGCTGGTGTTTGTTAATAAACGACTTCGTGGCGATTGGTTTAACAGGGTTAGCCAACATTGACACCCTTCTCCTCCACGAGCCATAGAGTCGACGTACATAAAAGGGTCTCTATCCTTCCGCTCAAGGGCATTTCCTCAAGTACATGGGCTAGGGATGCGGCTATCTCTTGGCGCCGGTAGAAGAATACACTGTTCGCTTCAAATAACTGGATAACGTGAAACATACATTTTGTCTGAAACTACCACCCTGTAAAGAGAATGTTTCGGATGGGGTGAGTGATATCGGGTCGGGAATTGTTGGGTCCCATTTATAGAGGGCTAGGTAGTGAAGAAATTAACTAGAAGGACTCTGTAGTCTTTGTGGCTGCAATAAATTTGCTACACCTAGTTGGTATGGGGATACCATATGAAAAGATTGATCAGATGTTTCATTTTAAAGAAGCACCAAATTTGTACTCTTGTTCGTTCTCCCTTCTGATGATGGCCCCTGGGGATAGACAGATAAAATTTCCGAAACATGACTGTAACCTCTGGAGATTGCTGTCACAGAATGTCACTTGACGATACCACACTGATGCTATCCGATAAGTAATATAAATACGGGAACAGATAGTCTCGATGCTAGAGTTGTCTTCCACGGCGGAGACAAAACCTAGTCAATGAAATCACACTATTCACATTGTTCATTCGTGGCATGGTTACGCAGTCATGCAGGGTGCGATGTGAACACATGTTCCGAACTCTTGGTGTGAAGAGCGGTGAACTGTGGTTGACACAGGGGAAAGGTCGCTGTATAAGATGCCATTTGGGCGCTTGGGTTTTCATCTCAGAAACCAGACTCTGAATAAAATTCCCACTGTGCTGGCCCTAGGACACAACCCTCCGTAAGAGGTGACTTGAGGAAGACCTAAGAGTTAGGTTGAATGTTACTTCAGATGACTAGGTTCAAAATAAGCCCCAAAGTGGCCCTCAGTAAATGTTACAAAAGCATCAGCGACGCTTGAGAAATATTCAATTGGGAGCATTGGGATGAGGTCATCTTGTTTTACGCAACTTCTATGGTTCTCGCCAGGGAACCTAAATAGTTCTTGGACAAAGTGAGCCACGATTATCGAGCAGTAACACTGAACTATGCCAGGTATGAAGAGAGATCTCTAGGCATGAGAAGTGCCTCAGTACCGAAAAGGACACCTGTGGAAATGGCCCGACTTGCCATGAAGGAAGTTCAGGCCATAAAAAAGTCTGTCCAGTTCCTTCTGGCAACTCTTGGCAGATCACTTTCTCAGCCATAGAATATGACGCCCAAAGCAACTTGTTGTGAGGGGTATCGGAGTGCAGGCGGTCCCTTACGAGTAAGTAGACCGCACTCGACTGACCAAGAATAAAACAATTGGCTTGAGCAAAACACCAGATTGATGATGAAAATATCTGAATATTACGAAAAAATACGCATACAAGCAAGGTCACATCACCGGCCTAGAACCACATGCGCCCATTGGCAACCAGAGGAACAGTACGTAGGTCGGAGAAGGAGAGTGAACGCAGAACCCAATGGTTTCCACATGTGTTTCAGCCACAGTCGAAAGGGCGCTCAAAACAAATCCGACCAGCTGATGTTGATCCACGTTCGACTCAGTTGATTTCGATGTCAATGTGCATCATCCCGGGAAATTCTTTCTGTAGTTTGAAAAGGTAAACGGTCAAAGACAGACAGGACAACAAAGGTGGTGATAGTGGAGAAAAGTAATATAGAATATGCAACCCGACTTCAGCTGATAAACATAGACCCGAACAGCACTCAGGAAAAAAATCGTTCAGCTGTAGCAGCCTCTCGGTGCCTAGCTGACACGCCACACGAAGAAAGAAACAGCTCTGCAACTACTTGTTCGGAAAGTGCAAAGCTGTGTAATAGTACAAGAGGTATGCAAAGTATACATGAGAGAACCATCTGTTTCTCGGAGTCGGATGCATGAAACATGAGGATAACCGCTGTTGATTTAGTAGAGGTAGCTCAGTTTGTGAGGTCACACAGTGGCCAAACAGTCGACTAAAATCCGACGGCAAATGCCTGCGATTTAGGAATAGACGTAGTTGGGAGAGATAATGCAAAATAAAGACTGACCTTGATTTTCGCCTCGATCTGATTGATCTCGGCACCCAAAGTATTGACCAGGTTGTCCCCATGTTTGAGCATAAAATGGACAAGTTGTTGTTCTGTTTGAATACTCTTCACCTCCTGTCAATGAATGGAGGACAAATTGACAAAAATAAACTTAGTATAAAAACGGCGGGCTGCTTTTTGAGATTGGTGCTCATACGGCTGGAGTAGGAAGACTTGAGACAACATATTGGTTGTTGATCAGATGGCTGTTGATCTGTTCGCCCGAGCTACCAATATTTCACCATGAGACAGCATACTTATGTCGCAGGTTGTGAACCATGATTCAGAATAAACGGAGGTCAAATAAGCTACTCAGTCGGAGGTAGTAATGCGAAACGATTCGGATACAACAAAAGAAAACAAAAAGTTGTTGGGTAGGGTGGTCAGTCAACCTTATGCCTGCAGAGGAGCAACTGGGTGCACTCGGTGAGTAGATGTTCAGGTTACAGTGGCAGTGTTAAACTGATAAGAACTGTGAGACCGAGGCAAAGAGTGGAAACTGAATTCGCATGACGGATACACTGGTGTGAGCGTGAAATGGCACGGCGCACAAGCAGCTGACTCCTGGAAAAAACGCGAGTCGTTCGAGTCTAGCCCTGGAACCGTGATAATTTCTACCTAGGCTAGGGCAACTTGTTAGCTCCTTGGTTTTCCACAGAGTTCCTATAATCAGAATGAACTTCAATGTTGCTTGGAAATTCGACCCGGGGATGCCAGGACTACAAACAGAGCGGTCAAAGACGGCAGAGCTACCTCGAGCTGTCATTCCGCGCCAACAGAATTAGGTGTGGTGGTTCTGTAGCGAACAGAAGATAAGACTACCAGTTCCGAGTACCCAAAGTTTGGTAGCAGGGTGATCCGAGTCAGCATCCAATAGGAATAACAGTATAGTTCTTTCGCATATCTAGTTCACACAAGCTGGTCCCCCCCAGCGTGAATTCTATAGAGAGCAACCAGGTTTGTTCCACACAGCCACGTGTACGCAAAAAAGGAGATGACGGTAAACGTCTGGTTAAACAATGAGAAGTTTCAGTGTGACCGAGCTGCCGAAACTGAACGTGTTGGTTCACGCGTTCGTGACTGAGGTTAATGTGTCAGGGTGTGAGGGAACGCGAAAAAGTGTGTGTACAGGACCAAAAGTGGAAAAGAGTTATGACAAAATACAGGGCGGAAAGAACGGAAAGGAAACGCTGCAGTCCTATACTGCACCCTGGACTCACCCAAATCGCTGAAATGTTAACTGTCCATGATCAAAAGTGGGAATCATACTCCGAGATTCGAGGAAACTTACTGGACGAATTTGGGGGGGGGGGGGGGGGGGAGGTATAGGAAGCAACTTCCAACGCCAAATATTGCCGCTTAATTCTAAGCTCAGTTCAATTGACATGTAATAGGGGTCGGCTGTGGGACTTGCTCAAAGTGGTTTCTTTTGGAAGGAAGTTACTATTCGCTGGGACCCAGAAAAACCCTTTTCTTGAAGTAAACAAAACGGTCTTTGAATCATTTGGTTATAAGTGAATCTGTTACCCATCTGCGTTCAAAATATTTACCTTAAGAAAAGCAAAACGGATCGTGGACTGTCGGACAGTTTTCAGCAACCTTGTCAGTAGTCTCCTTTACGAAAATATACTGCGATATCTCAGATATCGTACCAACTGAAACACGAGGCAGTGTAAGTGCAACACCTTCAGTTTGAAAACATCATAAATGAGAGATTGAGTTGAGTCTCCAGTGAAAGCCAAGTTGATCTGCAAATGACTGTATTTGTCAAAATCTGTCCAATTTGGGTTCAAGTAGAACATAAGGTTGACGGAGACCCTGGGACTGCGTTTACCTGAAGAGCCCCAACAAGGGCGAAACCATTTGTGGGTTGTCGATGAGTTTCCAGCAGCCTTGTGGGTAGGTTCCTTTATGAAACCATTCACTTTATTAAAAAAAGAGTTCAAATGGCGTGCTACCGCCAAAAAGGTCTTGGCGGTGTTGGAATCTATCTACTATTCACCGTTGTTCCATATCCGAATTTTAACGTGCATTTAATTTTCGAAAATATGTTCAACAAAGAGTTTCTGATATACCAAGGTTGGCATATCGGTCGATTATCGCGACCCCCACGGTAGACGGCGCAGTCGAGCTGTAAAAAGCCTGGCTTTTATCTGGTATTCTTACATACTGATGGATACGTCATGATCATAATCACCATAGCAGTGTTGACACGGAGTCAAACATGAACTGTTAGCACCTTGGCTCATTAATGCCTTTGGATTATTCGGATAATGGAATGAGACAGAAAGGCACGCGGGAACTGCGCCTACCTGATGAGCCCCACGACGAGCGAAGCACGAAGGCAAAGGCTTTTAACTCTTCAGCTACAACCCTGAAAACCATCAGTTTCACACGACAAATAGGGTTAAGCAGCAGTGAACAGTGGAATAGTGCCAATCATACGATGGACCAATCAGGTTAGGCTCTAAAATGCAAGACAAGCTGGTAGCTTGTGTCAGGTTCTGCGGTGTGCACAAGCTGGATCGGTATTGATTGATCGACAAAGCCCCACTGAAAGCAAACTATTTCGAGTTGATGTTGCATAGTAAAATTCTAAACGACGTACTGGGACAAGCCTGTGTACAGTGCATATAATGTGACTGTTGATCAATGAGACAGGCTTCCAGTCTCAGCTTACAGGCCGTCGGTCGATCGATTGGTCACCTGACTCAACTAATGAGGCATACGCTTTGGAAAGCGTTCGCAAAAGCGCCTATTTGCCCTGCTTATGTGTGTTTCACCGCAGCTGCGTACGAACTGGTACCCCGCGTTCGAAGCAGGGTGCATTTCGGAGCAGGATTAATTGAGCGACTGCACACCTGCAAACGATCACGGTAATTAATTTGTGCAGTACGGCTGTGGTTAGGTGATCTTCCTTGAGCTAGAGTCCGTTAAAAAATCCTCCCCATTCTGCTGAATGGTCAGGCTCTAGCTTATACCGTGGCATCTTGGGGATGTTGAAAAATGTCTCTGTCTCACAGGTTGAGTACCAGTTCATATACTGTTGCGATGGAACATACACTGGTAGGACAGATAGGAGCTTATGTGAATGTATCTCAGAAAATTTGCCGCGTTAGTTGAACCAGGTGACTCATCGATCAATGGACGGCCTGCAATGTGAGACTTAAAAACCTACCTCATCGACCATCAAACAAATTCAATTCATTGAGGAGAATGTTGGAAGCCCGAGTAGCGTTTGCAATCAGATTGCCAGCTCGGTGAACAAACCAACGACCAATATTCTATTAACTGGACACACAGTTCACCATAGTACAGTGTTTAGAATTTTACTGCGCAAGGTCAACTCGAAAATGTCGGTCAATAAATACCGACCCAGCCTGCTCACACTTATAGACACTGGCAAGCTAACAGCTTGCCTAGGACTTGAGAACCGGACGTGATTGGCCCAGCACACAAAAGGCTCCGTTTCATTTACCATTTATCCCATGTTTATATCAAATGATATTGCAGGTGAAGAGACAAAAGCGAAATGTCAAAACCCCGGAGCTAGGACCTACTTGATAGCTGGTCTAACACTGGAGTTGTTAGGTTATTTCGAAGCGCGTTTGAGACCCTTACTCGCGTTCGAACGGATTATACTTGCATAATCGAAAGCCATATCAGCGTAAGGGGAGGGGGGTAGAATGTTCCATTCTGTGCTCATGGGTTCCATTCACGGGTGGATCTGGAGTCATTCAAAATATGCTCGGACGATACAAAACTACAGGTGTCATAAAACACGTAAGAGGCTTTCAAAGTTGTGTTGGACTATGTTCTATTTGCGGGGCGGATGTGCTCTGCAGTCCAAGCTATGTTTTGCATGGATTCTACCCGCGTTTCATACTTTCCTGACATTAGATTTGGTTGCATTGTTGTTGAGCACATTCCGCTTTACTAAGGTGTGGCCTAACGATGAAGATGAGAGATTTATCGTGTGTAATGGTTACTGCCTTTCTGCCACCCGTACGGATGTTGAAACGTTCTAAAGCGAACACCAATCCTCCTTTTTCCTCCCTTTAGTTGCGTGTAGTTCTGTTCAGATTTGGGAGGCTGCAGCTGATGTGGTCCTCTTGATGCTACTAAAAGGCATTGGCTACAGTAGCACTGAATGAGTAGTGGCTCATCTGGATCACAGTAAGTCCCAATAAGTCACTTCGAAGGATGTTTACACCTCCAATCCATTTCATCTGTGCATTAGGGTGTAGCCGGTTCGATATACAATTATTTTGATCGAAAACGGCTCAGATATTGAATGCTTTCGTACGGGTCTCCATGCCTCTTCGATTTCCACCTTGCTCTTCAAAACTTGTTGTGGGTCGCCCACCGAAGCGTGTGCAAAGCCAAACAATGGAGTGATGAAGAGCAAACTCGGGGAATCAATGAGATGAACAGTTAGAAGCAGGTTATCCAGTTGATTGGAGGTCAAACAGAATAGAACGCAAAAAGCAAGCGGGTCAATCGAAACAGGAACACAACTACGGAAACAGGCTGTTAAATGAACAAACTAGTTACAGGGAAATGGGGCCAAGACTGATCCGTAATTAACCGGTCATGATGGGATAAGTAAATAGTCTTTAGAACCTCCGAAGCGACAGAGGAAGAAACGCGAAATCAACCATGAACTGATGAGGTTTCATCGACTGGTGACTAAACGTTTGCAATCCGATGGTCAAGCTCGGAGAACGAACAATTAGGCAATCAAAGCCACCCGCATTTCGCAACCTTGTCAATCCCTCTTTACGGTTGAGAAGACTGATCTGTGCGTGTATAGGACACTGTAAGACTGCCTATACTGAAAAAGGGAGTTTGCTAGTATCGCACAAACACACCAGAGTGAGCACTTCGGATGCGAATGGGAGAGAACAATTTGATGAATAATAGCAAGACATGGTCATGAGAGTCACCTGCAAAAGCGCGTCCAGCGGTAATGTTTCCATATACCGTTTGGTCAGTTCTCTCCCATCAATATCCACCTCGGCTTTGAATCGCATTGCCTCCCCACCCATCATTGTTGCTTTTATATCGTATGTGCCGCGGATGACCTTCATGTTATCGATCAACCGCATGATGGCTTCCTGCTTCTCCAATGGAATGGAGCTGTAGAACGAGATGAGGTGAAAACAGAGAGTGGTAGAAGCAGTTCAAGTATAAGAGAACTGACTGGAAAAATACAGAGACAACGGTGTTTTGTTGGAGTTGTCGGTCCAAACTGGTCTAAAGGGTTGGAACTGACAGTGAATAGGATTAGTTTCATGGAGAATGCCATTTTAGGGGAGTTGTCAGGAATTCTGTGACCGTTTGCCAGGTCTCCCCGGTATACTCGAATGTACACGGAACCTATAACAAATAGTGGCACTTAGTGAGACTGGGAATGTCGATAAGAAACACCCAAAAACCATAACGGAGAACACAAATAGCTTAAAAGCGTCAACTAAGGAAAAGCGAAGAGGAAGGCGCAAGAAAACAGCCACATCCAAAGGACTCATCCATGCCCAACAGTGACTGACAAAAGAACTGGTATACTGATCAAATTAATCGTTTCTGAACTGGAAGTGACTGGTGAACTCATGCGAGGACATAAACACGGTTATAATCGAAAACAGAAGTAGAACATCGGATCATTTAGTTCACATACAAAAAAGGGTCAGATCCAGGCACTTTGCATCCTGCACTTGTCGAAACCGTTGACAAGATTCTGAGACCCAGTTTTCTGGGAGAGATCACATGGCTTGAAGGTAGGCTGAGTATAAGATTGGATGTGACAAATGCGATGAAACTTTCACGATCATCATCACTACCACACTACCTAAAACCAAATCAACTTATGTGGAGAAGGCTTTAGTGCGTGGAGGAAATAGAAGGTAGAGTATGAGAGGGACTATCAAAAGTGGTGTACAAGTTGTACAGCTGACAGTAGGACCAAGAAGCCACCCACAGTATTTGCTGCCTATGATCGTACGACTAACAACAAATCGCCAAACAATTTCAAACTTATGGGAGACACGTTTCCGCAGACAGCTAGCTGACTTTGCTAACCAGAAGTCCCTGGACAGCATAAGAGGCAATTTATGTTTGTTAACAAGCGCAGAAGGAAAACATCTATAGCCATAGAGTATAAGTATACATTAGAGCTCAAGGGAGAGTACCAGTGTAACGACCGATACTACTGATGAGGCGTGCGAGTAGTATATGGTTTCCTCGTAACTCCGCTTCGGTCTACTACGGAACCTATGGAACTGCTTTGGAGTGTTCGTTTATAATTGCATGAAAGTCAGTAAATATCCACAAAAGCTCAAGAAGACGCGTGAGGATGTTCAGTTTCTTAAAAAAAGGTGCATATGAGATGTTTGTTTTCCTGTCCAATAGTTTGCAAGTGGGGCGAGATGGCCCAAGTGGCTAGAGCGCGAATTTACTGACCGGAATGTCTGTGGTTCGAATCCGACGTCCGCCACTCGACTTCCCCTGTCTAGGCTTGGGCAACTTGGAAGTATCGCAGCCATCGTGCTTCTTTCGGGTGGCATGGCAGCTAGGCACCGAAAGGATGCTACAGCTGAACGCTTTCTTTACGCTTCAGTTTGTAAGTGTTTAGTTGGTATTTGCTAATAAACGACTTGGCGGCGAAAGCCTTTCTTCACTACACCAGGAGAGTACGAGGAAAATTCTAAACGTCTCCGTGAAGTGATTTATGTAGGATTTGGATCGAGAAAGAGCGGCGAAAAATGACAAATGGAATCTGAACCCACTCGTCAGTTTACTGTACATGAATGTGGACCCATGCTTATCTTGATTCTCACTTCGATTACAGGTGTGAAACCTTAGTTTGTCTGATAAAGTGATGGAATAGTTGAACTTACCGACCGATCAGCATTTCCGTATTCGTACGAATGATCAGAGCTGCCACAGCGCCCAGAATCCCGCTGACACCAATAGCCCCTACAGCATCAGGGAACGGAGATCCGGTTAAGGTAGTGATACCCATTGCCGTACCAGCCACCAGCACTCCCAAGACAGCGGCCAAGTCTTCCAACAGCACGACACTTGTACTGGGATCGACACCGGCCATAAGCCATTGTCGCACAGAGTCGTAGTTGTGTCTTTTGGCGCCTAAACGTGCTTCGCGGTAAGCTAGAGCTAAGGTGCCTGAAATGGTGGTAAACGAAACGGTCAACCATGAAGCCGGGTGACGTAACCACGATTGCAAGCTAGGAGAGGAAGAAGAAATCAAGTGACCCTTAGTAGATCAACGGACGCGGTCAGATGACCGAAAAGTGCAACACAGGTTGTACCGTTACCGAAACGTACGTTAACCTTCTACACATGAAGCGTAACCACAAACATACATGCTTAGTGAAAACAGTGCCACGTGGCTTCCGCGTCAGACGGGAAGTCCGCACACGATTAGTCAATGACGACACGCCCTCAATGGAAAGGGTCTAACTCATACGGGAATGAAACCATATCCCCCAACATTCTCCCCAAAGACTGTCAATGAACGTAGACAGCTGTGTACAGGAAGACGAGGTAACCAGAGTGAAAAAATCCTATGGAGCTTTGGTTCAACATTAACGGCAATAATGTTTATCACGGATTGATCGACAGACAGACATTGAAAAGGAACGAGTAAAGTTTCTCAATCTAAAAAAATCGTTTAGCTATTGCACTCTTCCGGTGCCTGCCTATCATGCCACCAGAAGAAAGCACGAGGGCTGGGATACTGCCAGGTTGCCCAAGCTTAGACAGGGGAAGTCGAGAGGCAGAGGTCGGGTTCGAACCACGGACCTCCCGGTCAGTAAATTCGCACTCTAACCACTGAGCCATCTCGCCCCTCCCCGTCTCAAACTGGACATACGGCACGTACGAAAAGTTATAACCAACGGTCAAATTTTCGGAAGCTACACTCCTTGCCGCACACGTGATTATAAGACTGCCCGCACTCTAACACTGAGCCATCTCGCCCCTCCCCGTCTCAAACTGGACATACGGCACGTACGAAAAGTTATAACCAACGGTCAAATTTTCGGAAGCTACACTCCTTGCCGCACACGTGATTATAAGACTGCCTTATGGCAACACATACCAAGTGACCTTGTCCATTTAATACCGCAACAGACTGTAGATGCAGTGGCAATACACGGTTGGTAAATGGACGGAGACTACTGTGTCAATCGGAGGAAAACCTGCTCTCCTGAAGAGGCACCATCACGGACAAACGATACGTTAGCACGAGAAACATGAGTGATACGGAAGTTGGACGCGTTTTGGACTAATTCTCACAAAGAAGTAGGGGGGTTTTCAGAAAACGCCATCACACCAGGGAGATCGCTTGTTTTTCATTAATGTGAGCATGAAATATCGGTAATCCACTGGCAGCCGTCTGACAGAGAGAGAGACTCATGTCCTAACAGGAATAGTAAGGAAAAGGGATGCATTTCGAGAGGCAACTTACTTCCTTCACTGACGAACGAGCCCAACATCACGAGCAGCGCCTGATATGCAGATAAAAAAAGATGTGAAACGCGATTGAAACGTATAAAATGGATAGTTGGAGGAAAAACATAGGCTACAGTCTCCAGAGCAAGAGCAATCCAAGTTATCGTTGGGGGAATCGTGATCAAGGGAAATGAATGAGTTCGTAGAAGCTAATCGGATATCCGGCAAGCAACCCTCTGGAAAAAATTATAGCTGAAAAATTTGGTCAACCTGATGTGGTCACTTTGGTAAAGAGTTTATCAATCGTTCATCTGTAGCACCCTTTCGGTGCCTAGCTGCCGTGCCACCCGACGGTTACACGAGGACTGGGATACTGCAAGGTTGCCCAAACCTAGACAGAGGAAGTCGAGAGGCAGAGGGCGGGTTCGAACCACGGGCCTTCCGGTCAGTAAATTCGCGCTTTGACCACTTGGACCGTCTCGCCCAGCAGCGTAATTTGAAACAGAAATATACCACACCCACAAGCAGTTGGGACACACTTGTCGGTTATGCGAACTGGTTTCACGTTTTTTTGGTAAACGGTTTAATAAATTTTGGCATTGTGAGCGCTAACAATATTGCCGATCAGCCTCTGACGGTTCAGTGGTTTGGGCATCACTACTAGGCGGAAGCCGCAGGTTTGATCCTATATGGAGAGATGCGAGTTGTTGCCGATTCCCACCAAGGGCAACAAAACTGCGCAATAGTTCTCGGATTGTCGGTACGGATGGACTTTCCTTACAGGATGAAAGCTCGCGTGAAGAAAATCTCAAATCCCCTCCTACTATTGAAAATTAAAAAATTGAACAGGGAAGCAAAACTCTAATTTGCATCTTATTTACAAAAAACTGGACATCCATCTTCTCCCGAATGTGTCTGCTTGAAATTTAATTGACTCCACTCATTCCTCGGGCAAATCCAAGCAAATGTTACAAAGTGACTCCACGAATTTCGCAACAGATCTCCTCTTTTCAAAAGACGCGAGGCGAAATTCTGCGAACAACACACACTACTCGCGTGCCTTCCCATCAGTAATATCACCGTCACATGGGTGCAATGCAGAGACGATTCACCGGTTAGTTTTGTATGCCTAATCATTTGGAAACACCAAATCACAGAACTCACACCCATCCATCGCCCTAAGACGATTGGAGCCATGCCGAATTCACGATCGCTTACACGGAAAGACCTAGTAGTCTGCTCACACTCGGATCACAAGTCACACATCTACACAACTAAGAAGACAATCGTGTGCGCGTTGGACACGTGTGTACGTGTGACGATCCCCGGACTAGGGGTTGCCTAGTGACAAGCTGCATCAATTATAGACAAGGGTAGCAACCTGTTGAAGCGGAATTCAAGAGATGACCTTATCCGAAGCTACACAAGTGAACGAGGATTTGAGACGTGACAGTTTTCCACTCTGAAAAGCAAGTGAACAGCTCGTTATTGAACCATAGAACCTTATTCAAATAAACTCATATGGTTGTACGGTACCGAAACATCAATAATCTTCGCTGTCCTTCAATCCGTATCACCTAATATCGCCCATTTCCCCACCAGAAAGTGTACCGGTTTAGGTTATAAGCTGAATTCTCGGAAAAATTCTTCCAAGTGTTTAAGCTGCTCTACTCTTGTTTGCTAAGAGTTCCATTGTCAGGAAGGAGTTTAAATTGGTCTTTCTGAGATCAGGTTTTCTCTGCGTTTAATGAAGAATTCCAATACAAGCTTTTACGATATGCAGCACTACGTTGGAGTTAATTCGGTGTCTGTACTCATTTATTGTTAGATTCCAGCTGAGCTAAGCCACTCAATCGCTTCAGCATTGTGAGCGCTAACAATATTGCCGATCAGCCTCTGACGGTTCAGTGGTTTGGGCATCACTACTAGGCGGAAGCCGCAGGTTTGATCCTATATGGAGAGATGCGAGTTGTTGCCGATTCCCACCAAGGGCAACAAAACTGCGCAATAGTTCTCGGATTGTCGGTACGGATGGACTTTCCTTACAGGATGAAAGCTCGCGTGAAGAAAATCTCAAATCCCCTCCTACTATTGAAAATTAAAAAATTGAACAGGGAAGCAAAACTCTAATTTGCATCTTATTTACAAAAAACTGGACATCCATCTTCTCCCGAATGTGTCTGCTTGAAATTTAATTGACTCCACTCATTCCTCGGGCAAATCCAAGCAAATGTTACAAAGTGACTCCACGAATTTCGCAACAGATCTCCTCTTTTCAAAAGACGCGAGGCGAAATTCTGCGAACAACACACACTACTCGCGTGCCTTCCCATCAGTAATATCACCGTCACATGGGTGCAATGCAGAGACGATTCACCGGTTAGTTTTGTATGCCTAATCATTTGGAAACACCAAATCACAGAACTCACACCCATCCATCGCCCTAAGACGATTGGAGCCATGCCGAATTCACGATCGCTTACACGGAAAGACCTAGTAGTCTGCTCACACTCGGATCACAAGTCACACATCTACACAACTAAGAAGACAATCGTGTGCGCGTTGGACACGTGTGTACGTGTGACGATCCCCGGACTAGGGGTTGCCTAGTGACAAGCTGCATCAATTATAGACAAGGGTAGCAACCTGTTGAAGCGGAATTCAAGAGATGACCTTATCCCGAAGCTACCAAGTGAACGAGGATTTGAGACGTGACAGTTTTCCACTCTGAAAAGCAAGTGAACAGCTCGTTATTGAACCATAGAACCTTTTTCAAATAAACTCATATGGTTGTACAGTACCGAAACATCAATAATCTTCGCTGTCCTTCAATCCGTATCACCTAATATCGCCCATTTCCCCACCAGAAAGTGTACCGGTTTAGGTTATAAGCTGAATTCTCGGAAAAATTCTTCCAAGTGTTTAAGCTGCTCTACTCTTGTTTGCTAAGAGTTCCATTGTCAGGAAGGAGTTTAAATTGGTCTTTCTGAGATCAGGTTTTCTCTGCGTTTAATGAAGAATTCCAATACAAGCTTTTACGATATGCAGCACTACGTTGGAGTTAATTCGGTGTCTGTACTCATTTATTGTTAGATTCCAGCTGAGCTAAGCCACTCAATCGCTTCAGATTGACACACTGAATTATCGAACGCAAAAGCTCTCAGTGCAACAACACTCGACAGCACGGATAGGTGGAGAGCTATGAGGAACCATGAGAAAGTGAAACAAAGGTATCGAGTAGTAAAGCCAGCCGCGTAACCATTGAAATCAATCAATCAAATAAACAACGGTGCGTTTACCGTGATTAAACATGACCTTTAAAAAAAACAGTAATACATTCAGCAATTGTTCCCAAACTTTTCCGAAAAAGAAACAACCTTTCTTTCGTGCGAACAACTCCACTGACGTAGGCTCATGCATTGACGCGCGAGGTAACAATCAAATAAGGTTGTTAGACGCATAGCCCCTGACAATGTCATTCAAATGTCTCCAGAGCAAAATGTTTTCAGTTCACAGCAACCGATCAACAACGCAAAGTCTGAGCAAGCACCATAGGAATATGCCAACTTGTTTTGAACAGTCAGAATCCAAAACGGAGAATAAGTGACTCGTTCAACGTCACTGACAGAATGATCTATACACCCGCAAGATTGGACCGGTCATTAAATGAAATTTTTGCCAACTGAGGCGATCCACTGAAGCGGTGTACAGCTCACGCACTTGGCCAACCTACGTTTAGACAGTCGTAACCCCATCCGCGCAAATACATCTCAGTCACCGGATATGGCACCAAACGAGAAAAAACTACGGGACTTTACTCGGTTAACACTAACTACAGGCCGGCAATAAGATTA